AAAGTGACATCCATTTAACGTTGAATATCCTGAGAAGGGGAAGGGAAGCGAATGGGGTTAATAGGAAGGAGTAGGGGAAGGAAGGAAGGAGGGACGAGGAAAGAGAATGGGGGTGATGGTAGATTTGAGGGTAAGGAAAGAATAAGAGAGAGAGAGAGAAGAGAAGAGAGAATAATTGAATAATGGCAATATCTCAGTTACCCCTTAAATGTCTTTACTTAATAAAATTCCCATTCTCGAGGACAGGAAGCCTGATCTAAGTCCAACCTCCCAATCCCCTCTTTCCCCCTTAGGCTAGCTTACTAACCCCATCCCAGGATATGTAACCCACAATACGTACAACGTCGACATGTATCGTACGCGTGTCAACATGTACCGAACGCGTACATGTCGACGCGTACGGTACACGTTGAAACGTACGGTACATGTCTAATCCTCGTACGCGTGTCAACATGTACCGAACGCGTACATGTCGACGCGTACGGTACACGTTGAAACGTACGGTACATGTCTAATCCGACCTTGTGTGTTTACGTTATTGATTATAAATGTATATTTTATAAGTTTTCTTTTTCAGTTTCAGGTCACGAGAAGGTTCGTCTTATAACCTCTTGTTGTGGGTGGTGGTGTTAGACTTATTCCTTGATTTGATCTTCCCAAACATTTTCTACGAGGTTGTGGTTCCTCTAGAGACTGTCTCGCTGAGGTAGTAGGTCCTTTCAGACCAGTGTCTCCTCCTATTGCTCAGGAGAATGTCCCAGTGTGTCCTCTTTCCTTCAGGAGGAGTTCCAGTGCGTCCTGTTTCCTTCAGGAGGAGTTCCAGTGCGTCCTGTCTCCTTCAGGAGGAGTTCCAGTGCGTCCTTTCTCCTTCAGGAGGAGTTCCAGTGCGTCCTTTCTCCTTCAGGAGGAGTTCCAGTGCGTCCTTTCTCCTTCAGGAGGAGTTCCAGTGCGTCCTTTCTCCTTCAGGAGGAGTTCCAGTGCGTCCTTTCTCCTTCAGGAGGAGTTCCAGTGTGTCCTGTCTCCTTCAGGAGGAGTTCCAGTGTGTCCTGTCTCCTTCAGGAGGAGTTCCAGTGTCCATCACTAAGTTACAACTCTTCTCTCCAGGCACGTGGTATCCGTGACGCCCTTCCCGTCGAAGGACGGCCACCCTGAACTTCAGCACGTGGGGTGGGTGCCCGGGGCGGCGGCGTCTCTCGTCATGGTCCACGAGAACGACATCTACGTGAAGGAGTCGCCGACGTCGCCGGTGGTATCCCGTCTCACGACCACCGGGGAGCCCCATGTGGTCTTCAACGGCGTTACTGACTATTTGTACAGAGGTAACGTGAGTCCTCGCTTCTAGGGGGAGACTCTGTAACACTCTCTCTCTCTCTGTCTCTCTCTGTCTCTCTCTGTCCAACCACTTGGACTGGACGGTAGAGCGACGGTTTCGCTTCATACAGGTCGGCTTTCAATCCCCCGACCGTCCACAAGTGGATGGGCATCATTCCGTTCTCCAGTCACATCCCAAATCCTTGTCCTGACCCCTTCCAAGTGCTATATAGTCGTAATGGCTTGGCACCTTCCTCCTGATAATTCTCTCTCTCTCTCTTTCTCTCTCTCTCTCTCTCTCTCTCTCTCTCTCTCTCTCTCTCTCTCTCTCTCTCTCTCTCTCTCTCTCTCTCTCTCAAATATTTATTTCAAAACGCCATTCTGAATTATGTCCTTGTCATGAGCCATAGGAAGAATCACTTGTCCAATTTCTAAAAATGACCATTTTTCTGTCCGGATTTAACGAAACCTCTTAATCACCTAAATGAGTCCTATATAGTGCCTGGCATAGTGCCAAAATTCCTGCATTTTATCTCAGATTATAACTGTATTTAACTTTTACATTTGATTAATTACACACACACATCTGTTTCTCGTTGATCTTCGGCAATTTAAATTAATCTTCGTTGATCTTTAGATGTATAACACAAATCTTCGTTGATTATTTGGCTTAACACTGATAGTGGCTGTAATCTCACAGATTAGCTTCTTGTTGCTTCAAACTAATTAATTTCATGTTGTTTCTGTAAGTCATTTTCATCAGAGCATGTTGCATATGTCGCTTGGCTCATTATCACAGTGAGCTTTGGTCATCTTAGCCTCTTCTTGTCTTGGCTAATTACACACGGATTTCCAGACGAAATTTGTCTCAATCTCATGTCCCTGGGCTTGTCTCTCTCCCCCGTCCCTACTCAACCACTTGGGGTGGATGGTAGAGCGACGGTCTAGCTTAATGCAGGTCAGCGTTCGATCTCCGACCGTCCCTAAGTGGTTGGGTACCATTCCTTTCTCCTCCGTCCCATCCCAAATCCTTATCCTGACCCCTTCTAAGGCGCTATATAGTCTTAATGGCTTGTGCTTTCTCCCTGATAATTCCCTTGAGTTGGTCTCACTAAGCGCTGCACTTCCTCACCAGAGTACGTGCTGCACTCCGTGTCGGCGGTCTGGGCCAGCGACGACGGTTCGAGACTCTGCTACGCCACGTTCAACGACACTGGCGTGAAGGAAGCCAAGATTCCCCTCTACACCGACAAGTACGCCACCATAAGCCAGATCAGATACCCCAAGGTGCGTAGAAGTGGGGATAAAGGGAACGAAACCTGTACATCTTTCAACAATCATGGTGGCCATTGTTTACATTTATTGAGCTGTTTACGAGCACCGGAATTTCAGAACCTCAAGGTTGTTATTCTTATAAATAACTTCGTAGTGCTTCGCGACTCATTAAAGTAAACAAAGCCGCCATGATTGATGAAAGATGTACTGGTTTCGTAAATAGACACGTGAATGCTTTAATAAATCTTGGCTGGCGTCCCCTTTTTTGGAGGGGAGTAACGAGGATGGAGTAAAGATAGGTGAAGGGAAGTTTAAAAATTGGAAATACACAGGTATGAGAGAGGACGGGCTGTCCGGCTTGCTGACACGATATGTGTGGGTGTTAGCAGCTAAGCTAAGCTTGCTCTCTCTTGACAGGGAGCTGTGAGTGTGTGTGTGTGTGAGAGGTTCTTCACATGTATTTCAGCATACATGGAGGGTATCTATAGATGAATATTGTGTATAGCTACATCCCTTTTAGCTTTTCCGGCTTTTTCCTTTGTCCGCGTTTCTCTTCCTATTTATCTATGTCCTCATCTTCCTGCAGGTGGACACGCCCAACCCGACGGCGACGCTGTGGGTGGTGGATCTGGACCAGTCGAAGACGCCCTCCTCGCGAGACGTGAAGCCTCCTACCAGAGTCAGAGACCAGTCAGTGGGAGTGTGGTTTGTTTTCTTCCCACACCAATTGTCTCGTTGTTGTGTTCGTGTCGGTGTTGTGGTGGTGATGTGGTGGTAGTGCTGCTGCGGTAGTGATGGTGATAGTGGTGGTGGTGTGGTGGTAGTGCTGCTGCGGTAGTGATGGTGATAGTGGTGGTGGTGTGGTGGTAGTGCTGCTGCGGTAGTGATGGTGATAGTGGTGGTGATGTTGTGGTAGTGCTGCTGCGGTAGTGATGGTGATAGTGGTGGTGGTGTGGTGGTAGTGCTGCTGCGGTAGTGATGGTGATAGTGGTGGTGGTGTGGTGGTAGTGCTGCTGTGGTAGTGAAGGTGCTAGTGGTGGTGATGTGGTGGTAGTGGTGCTGCGGTAGTGATGGTGATAGTGGTGGTGATGTGGTGGTAGTGCTGCTGTGGTAGTGATGGTGATAGTGGTGGTGATGTGGTGGTAGTGGTGCTGCGGTAGTGAAGGTGATAGTGGTGGTGATGTGGTGGTAGTGGTGCTGCGGTAGTGATGGTGATAGTGGTGGTGATGTGGTGGTAGTGGTGCTGCAGTAGTGATGGTGATAGTGGTGGTGATGTGGTAGTGGTGGGTATGTGCACTTGATGCATATGCACCTACAAAAATCACTTGTGTGTGTGTGTGTGTGTGTGTGTGTGTGTGTGTGTGTGTGTGTGTGTGTGTGTGTGTGTGTGTGTGTGTGTGTGTGTGTGTGTGTGTGGTGTATAACCTGGCAATGACCCCATGATGGTTAACTTAAGTGGCAGCTTACTTATAGAGGTTGATGCTAAGACCACACTCTAGCTCAGAGCTCTATATATAGCTATTTTAACTCTTCAAGATGCCAAGAACTTGACTTTTAGCGGCTCCTTAGCTAACCATCCATCTGTCTTGCTGATTGGCCAATTCCTTGCCTAGATAGCTTCCTATCCTAGCCCTTCCTTGGCTTATGAACTCTACCTAGCCCTCCCTTAACTTTTGAATCCTTGCTAGGCATCTTTCCCATGCTTATCAACCCTTGCTAAGCAACCTTCCCTAGCTTATCAACCCTAGCTAGACGACCTTCCCTAGCTACCCAGCAACTTACCTAAACCAGTGCATATGTTAAGCAGCCAACCAATGAACCTTGAAGCTCTTCAAGAATAAAACAAATACTTTTGAAATAATATTTCAGGCGTATTTGTAAATAGTATACGCTTGTAGTTGGGAAATGTATGTGCAAAATAGCTACAGAAATAGCCAACATAGACTATAGCCACATAGGTGCCCAAAAGAGGTGGGCCACATAGGTGCCCAAAAGAGGTGGGCCACATAGGTGCCCAAAAGAGGTGGGCCACATAGGTGCCCAAAAGAGGTGGGCCACATAGGTGCCCAAAAGAGGTGGGCCACATAGGTGCCCAAAAGAGGTGGGCCACATAGGTGCCCTAAAGAGGTGGGCCACATAGGTGCCCTAAAGAGGTGGGCCACATAGGTGCCCAAAAGAGGTGGGCCACATGGGTGCCCAAAAGAGATTGACCACATGACAGAGACACGGAAAGGCCAACAGACCTGGTCCCACAGAAATAAAAAAAATATCATCCGAGCTAAGATAGTTACAGATACAGTAAATGAAAAAAACTATTATGATTTTTCTCGAAAAACAATAACTAATAATGCCTCGTTTTAAGTCATGTAATACAAGGCTAAGAAGATGTGTCGGGCTTCAGCTCCTGAGCCAAGAAGGACATCAGTATATCCCAATATCAGATATCCCAATATCAGTATATCCCAATATCAGATATCCCAATATCAGTATATCCCAATATCAGATGGGGGATGATACGTCAAACAATTTGATTGTTTGCTAAATTACACTCGGGGAAAGGAGGAAAGTAGTTGCTATGGTGGTTAAATACTAATAACCTAACGACCCCCAGGGATACGTAAGATTGACCACTACGTGTACCGAACACTAAGATCCTAATCATAGGGGCTTTAAATCACCCAGAAATGAAATGGGAAGCGAGATATTCCCATGGAAATGAGGATTTCAGTTCTACATTAGTTGGAGCCATATATATATATATATATATATATATATATATATATATATATATATATATATATATAATATATATATATATATATATATATATATAATCTAAGGAATTAAGAAACTGTGGAATTGAACGCAAATATGAGAAGATAATGAAATTAAAATGAAGAATGGGTTAATTTTTAAAACTGAGTGTGAGGTAAGTGATCTTGAGTATGAGGTGCATTCAGCGATTATGAGAAGCTGACAGCGATTATGAGGAGCTGACCACGAATATCAAGCTCCGCGACTGAGTATGAGAATTTGAGAGTAAGTATAATGTACTGAGAGCGAGTGTGAGGTATTGATAACAATAATGAGAGCCTGTGAGTGTTTAGTAGGTGCCAAGAGCATTGAGAGTGAGTTTGATGCCCCATGCGCGAGTATGAGGCTGTAAGAGTATGAGACAGTGGAGAGAATGAGGCTCTCAGAGCGAGTATGAGGCTCTCAGAGCGAGAATGAGGCTCTCAGAACGAGAATGAGGCTCTCAGAACGAGAATGAGGCTCTCAGAACGAGAATGAGGCTCTCAGAGCGAGAATGCGGCTCTCAGAGCGAGTATGAGGTCCTGAGAGCGAGTATGAGGATCTGAGAGCGAGTATGAGGATCTGAGAGCGAGTATGAGGATCTGAGAGCGAGTATGAGGCTCTAAGAGCGAGTATGAGGATCTGAGAGCGAGTATGAGGATCTGAGAGCGAGTATGAGCATCTGAGAGCGAGTATGAGCATCTGAGAGCGAGTATGAGCATCTGAGAGCGAGTATGAGACTGTGAGAGCGAGTATGAGGATCTGAGCGAGTATGAACATCTGAGAGCGAGTATGAGCATCTGAGAGCGAGTATGAGGATCTGAGAGCGAGTATGAGCATCTGAGAGCGAGTATGAGCATCTGAGAGCGAGTATGAGCATCTGAGAGCGAGTATGAGCATCTGAGAGCGATTATGAGACTGTGAGAGCGAGTATGAGGATCTGAGCGAGTATGAGCATCTGAGAGCGGGTATGAGCATCTGAGAGCGAGTATGAGCATCTGAGAGCGAGTATGAGCATCTGAGAGCGAGTATGAGCATCTGAGAGCGAGTATGAGCATCTGAGAGCGAGTATGAGGATCTGAGCGAGTATGAGCATCTGAGAGCGGGTATGAGCATCTGAGAGCGAGTATGAGCATCTGAGAGCGAGTATGAGCATCTGAGAGCGAGTATGAGGATCTGAGAGCGAGTATGAGCATCTGAGAGCGAGTATGAGCATCTGAGAGCGAGTATGAGCATCTGAGAGCGATTATGAGCATCTGAGAGCGAGTATGAGCATCTGAGAGCGAGTATGAGCATCTGAGAGCGAGTATGAGCATCTGAGAGCGAGTATGAGCATCTGAGAGCGATTATGAGCATCTGAGAGCGAGTATGAGCATCTGAGAGCGAGTATGAGCATCTGAGAGCGAGTATGAGCATCTGAGAGCGAGTATGAGCATCTGAGAGCGATTATGAGCATCTGAGAGCGAGTATGAGCATCTGAGAGCGAGTATGAGCATCTGAGAGCGAGTATGAGCATCTGAGAGCGAGTATGAGCATCTGAGAGCGAGTATGAGCATCTGAGAGCGAGTATGAGCATCTGAGAGCGAGTATGAGCATCTGAGAGCGAGTATGAGCATCTGAGAGCGAGTATGAGCATCTGAGAGCGATTATGAGCATCTGAGAGCGATTATGAGCATCTGAGAGCGAGTATGAGCATCTGAGAGCGATTATGAGCATCTGAGAGCGATTATGAGCATCTGAGAGCGAGTATGAGCATCTGAGAGCGAGTATGAGCATCTGAGAGCGAGTATGAGCATCTGAGAGCGAGTATGAGCATCTGAGAGCGATTATGAGCATCTGAGAGCGATTATGAGCATCTGAGAGCGAGTATGAGCATCTGAGAGCGATTATGAGCATCTGAGAGCGAGTATGAGCATCTGAGAGCGAGTATGAGCATCTGAGAGCGAGTATGAGCATCTGAGAGCGAGTATGAGCATCTGAGAGCGAGTATGAGCATCTGAGAGCGATTATGAGCATCTGAGAGCGAGTATGAGCATCTGAGAGCGAGTATGAGGATCTGAGAGCGAGTATGAGGATCTGAGAGCGATTATGAGCATCTGAGAGCGAGTATGAGCATCTGAGAGCGAGTATGAGCATCTGAGAGCGAGTATGAGCATCTGAGAGCGAGTATGAGCATCTGAGAGCGAGTATGAGCATCTGAGAGCGATTATGAGCATCTGAGAGCGATTATGAGCATCTGAGAGCGAGTATGAGCATCTGAGAGCGAGTATGAGCATCTGAGAGCGATTATGAGCATCTGAGAGTGTATAATATGCTCCTAAAAAAACCAAACATGCGGCTCAGGGCGCGAGAATGGCGAGCAGAAATGAGTGTGAGGGTTTTGAGGTGTGGGCGTGAGAAATGCTCTAAGAGACTGGCTTGCCGCCCACAGGGACCACTACTTCACGGGCGTGGCGTGGGTGGACCCGGACACCGTGGGCGTTGTGTGGAGGAACCGCGCCCAGAACATCAGCGTCGTCACCGCCTGCAGCGCCCCCATGTGGTTCTGCGAGGAGGTAAGGACACGCACGCACTCACACACACGCACGCACTCACACACACACAGTTGAGTGACGGTTGAAAGGCGGGACCAAAGAGCCAGAGCTCAACCCCCCAGCATGCACAACTAGGTGAGTACACACACACACACACACACGTATCACTGTATTTGAATGATTCTTCTCTTGTGTCAATCCAAAACTCATTTATATATATATGTATAGCCTTTGAATTCACTCGATAACTTGTGGAATACAAACACACATCTTGTGGGAGTCAACCGACGCTGCCTCAGTGTGAAGTCAACGATATTTGGCCTGAATATTGAACCGAATCGGCGATTCTAGTGTCAATGATCTATCTTTTTCTTCAAAACAGTTAACGAACTCTGAAGCTATCAGGAGTATTTAATTAAATGATTGGGGAGGGGGGGGGGGGCAATGTTTAAGGTGTCTATCGTCTGAATTGGCGATCGTCGACGTGGCGATCGTTCCGGACGGCTTCCAACGATCGTTCCGATGTGATATAATGACCATCGTCGAGGCTTGAGAATCTCTAATACCGTTCAACATTCAAAATTTCCCGCGCGGCAGATTTCCCGCGGGAACAGTGTCGATTGGCTCCTTCCTCGAGCATAGGTAAACAAAAATACATAGTTGTTTGATTCCAATAGGCTTTTACCACCATTTTCCCGCCTCTCTGACACACACACAGCTGTTTGTGGAGGAGAGCGGACCTCGGCGGTGGGTGACGGTGGAGAACGTGCCGCTCTTCTCCAAGAACGGGACGGCTTTCGTGGGCGTGGCGCCACTGGTCGACAGCACTTCGGGCACCTATCCCCACATCCACCAGGGCAGCACCGATGTCCGCCACACTATCCCCGTCACCTTCGGCCCCTACAGCGTGTTCTCCATCGTCGGCTGGGATACGGAAAACCACCACGTGTGAGTATGAGAGACGGATAGGGATGAAAGGATGGACAAATAGGCAAAAAGTGTCAATGTTTTGGGATGTTCTACATCCTCCTCCCCCCCCCTCCCTCTCCCAAGCCTTTTCCTTTCCCATTTATCTCTGACACTCGTCTCACTGCCACCATTTCCGTCCCACTATCCCCTACCCCCTATCCCTCGGACCTACCTACCCCACACCCCTATTCTCCCGCCACTTCACCGCCCCTACTCACTTCTCTACCACCCCTCCTGCAGGTACTACGTGGCCAACACGGAGACAGAGACGGGGGAGCGACACCTGTGGCGGGTGACAGATGTGCAGGCACCCACCCCTCGCCTGCAGGAGTGCCTCACCTGTCACCTCAACTACTCCAGCCCCCCCTGCAGGCACTTCACCCCTCACATGGGTCCTCATAACTACAACGAGGTGAGTCTCTGCTTCTCTCATCGAAATACTTCGGAGATTTTTGTATTTTTGTTCATAGGCTCGACCAATACGTTTAAAAAAGGACGTATAATAGGAAACTAATTGCATTGCAATGTTGATGTTTTCAGTACATAGGCCTCAGTAGGCATAGGTCCTCAGGCAAGCGCCGCCACCCGACCCTAAAGATGCTTTTATCAACTTTAATTTATCACTGTGAATTCAAAATTGGTATTTTCTGAAATACAGATTAAGATTATTATAGATCATAATTTGGTGTATAGTTTTAGCCTAAAGTAAGGTTGGGTGTTTAGGTTCTGTTTGACATTATTTGTATTTTGTAGTATATAGAGGGAAGGCAATTACAGCGGTGCTCTTTGAGCGGCGGGGCTTCAGCGAAGCACTTGTTCGAGAAATGTTCGAATGTCACCATTTGTAAGTCATGTAGCCCGCCTCATCAACAAAGGCCAAATGCTCGTTAACCCAGTCCCCAACCCCCCCTGTTTATGACTGAAAAACACGACTCACAACTGATGACGTTTGAACATTTCTCGAACTGTGCTTCGCTCACTTCTTGCGTTCGAACTGCAACTCTTCAAGCAACCCTGATTTTTCCTTCATTATTCGATATTTAAATTTACTTCCTTCATCCTTACTCATCTCCCTTGACCTCTGGACAGGTGGTGCTTGAGTGCGAGGGCCCCGGCGTTCCCCACACCGTCCTCTACTCCATCCTGGAGGAGGAGGTGCTCCTCTACATCGACAACAGCACCCGCCTGCAGAAGCTGTCCTCGCAGATGGCGTGGCCCCAGCGCAAGGATTACAGGGTCAAGCTGGAGGGAGGTTTCGTGGCCCAGGTAAGGAGAGGCTCCTAGTTTATCATCTATTGACTTTTTTGGTAGCGGTTCAGTATATACTGTCGGCTTTCCCCATCTGTATAATCTTGCACTTATTGGTGTTGAATTTTAGTAACCATTTCTGGGACCAACTCTGCAGTACTTGCGTCTTCCTGAAATACTTTGCACTGTACCTTTCTACTGCTCTCATAAATCTTTGACATATTGGGCTCGAACCCTCGTTAGGTCATTGACATAGATCAGTAATAATAGAGGCTTAAACTCATCATTTGGAACTCTGCTTATTATCATGCTGAAATGCATTTTTTTCCCCTCCTCTCTCTCACGGTGAATTTCTGTCACCTGTCTGTTAGGTTGACCAGACCACACACTAGAAGGTGAAGGGACGACGACGTTTCGGTCCGTCCTGGACCATTCTCAAGTCGATTGTGACAATCGACTTGAGAATGGTCCAGAACGGACCGAAACGTCGTCGTCCCTTCACCTTCTAGTGTGTGGTCTGGTCAACCTACTTTAGCCACGTTATTGTGACTCCTCGCCTGTCTATTAGGTATTCTCCCATTCAGTTCTGGTCTCTCCAGGTAATTCGTCTACTTCTCAAATGTGTATAATAGCTACAATTACGTGGCTTGAAGACTAATAATCAGATGGTTTTGTCAGTCGAAAAATATGAGTATGTCCTTCATTATCATGAAGGACATACTCATATGTCCATATGATAATATATATGATCATATCTTTATGATCTCTTTAATGGGCAGCACCGACTATCCGGTTAAAAACAAAATAGATCCTTAAATTCATCTGGTTAACAATGATAAAATAACAGTAATGGGAGGATTTAAAGAAACGTTTTCCATCTTAATTTATTGTCATATAATTCAGCAGGATAATTCAACTACTCATTCATGCAGGATAATTACAATAGGTTTCCTGAGGTCGTGTGGTGTGTGTGTGTGTGTGATTGTTGATATGTATATGTTCAGTTGCATGGTCCAGCCTCCTCCTTGTTGCTTAGGTACCTCGTAGGTAGATTACCAGGATGATCTCTCTCTTTCTCTCTCTCTCTCTCTCTCTCTCTCTCTCTCTCTCTCTCTCTCTCTCTCTCTCTCTCTCTCTCTCTCTCTCTCTCTCTCTCTCTCTCTCTCTCTCTCTCTCTCTCTTCTATCATAAAAATCACCTGCCACACCTTCTTTAGGAATATCTAATTCACCTTCTAAACTTATTATCTCCCCCTGGCTTCTTCAACAGAAATTACACCACCTGGAAAATGACTTACTTGATTTCTTTCTGGAACACCTGCTGCTGCTGCTCCTGCTGCTGCTCCTACTGCTGCTGCTCCTGCTGCTGCCTGAGAGGTCAATTACTCCCTCTGTCCCCCTCCCTCAGGTCCGTCTGAGCATCCCGCCGGAGTTCACGGAGGAGGAGGCGTTCATCTACCCTGTGGTGGTGAGGGTCGGGGGCGTCCCAGGCCAGCAAAGAGTCCACCATCGATGGAACGTCGACTGGGGCACCTACCTTGCCTCTAACAAGTACGTCCTCTCTCTCTCTCTCTCTCTCTCTCTCTCTCTCTCTCTCTCTCTCTCTCTCTCTCTCTCTCTCTCTCTCTCTCTCTCTCTCTCTCTCTTGACACTTGGAGCTCATTAATTTGATGATCTTACTTTGTGTATCCATTAGGATTAAACTAAGTATCATGGTAAGTGACTATAGCATGTAAGGGACAGGGGATGGGAGCTTGGAGCCACCTGTGTGTCAGAGCCTTCATATAGTCGGTTGACTGGGATAGAGGAGATGGACCTCTCCTCTAGGTTAGAGAGGGGACAGGGGGCTGTTTCCTGGGATGGTAGGTTCTCTGATCCCCCCTTCCCCTGTGGTTTTATATCCTCTAGTGGATATATCCACTTATATAGTGGATATATCCACTTATTTTTATATCCACTTCCCAGCTTCTCCTGAATGTTTGTCTCTTCCTTTCCGTCTCTCTTTTTCTCTCTTCGTATATCTTTATCTGTCTTTTTTTTCGACACCACCTCATCTTTTCTACATCTTTCCCCCCTCTCATTTTCTCCCTACATCATCATCTCTCTCTCTCTCTCTCTCTCTCTCTCTCTCTCTCTCTCTCTCTCTTCCTCTGTATTACTCTCTCTCTCTCTCTCTCTCTCTCTCTCTCTCTCTCTCTCTCTCTCTCTCTCTCTCTCTCTCTCTCTCTCTCTCTCTCTCTCTCTCTCTCTCTCTCTCTCTCTCTCTCTCTCTCTCTCCCATTACCTATTTTTATCTAATCCCCCTCCTAGTCTCTCTCTCCATCTCTTACATTCATGAAGTTTAAACTACAGGATAATTACCCGGAGTTCAACAGCAAGTTTTTTTGGGGGGTCCCTCTTCGTGCTTAATTCAGGGCAAAGCTACGGCTGTGTTTTGCTAGGTGTGTTGAAGGGGCGGGGATGATAGGACGAGGAAGTGTCCTCAATTAGTTGTACTTGTGGGGGGTTGAGCTCTGGCTCTTTGGTCCTGCCTCTCAACTGTCAGTCAACTGGTGTACAGGTTCTTGAGCCTACTGGGGTGTGTGTGTGTGTGTGTGTGTGTTCTCACCTTTTTGTGCCTGCAGGATCATGCTCTAGCTCTTGGATCCCGCTCTTATAGCCGTTGTTTGTCTAATGCAATGACTCCTGGCCTCTTTCCCTATCATACCTGCTTTTAAATTTATGAATGGAGTTTGCCTCTACAACCTGCTCCTGTGTGTGTCTGTCGGTTGTCTAACACACACACACACACACACACACACAGTTGATTGACGGTTTAGAGGCGGGACCAAAGAGCCAGAGCTCAACCCCCACAAGCACAACTAGGTGAGTACAACTAGGTGAGTACACACACACACAGTCCCATAGCGCACCCCTGTACCAATTGTCTGAGTCCCATGTATCTATTTACCCCTAGGTGAACAAGTACATCAGGTGGAAAAAAACTCAGCCTATTGGTTTCCGCCTCGGCTGGGACTCGAACCCGGGCCCTAGGACGATGACCCCCTAAGCGCTGTCTACCCAGGAAATGGTTTCCTCCAAGCATCCCTTGCGGGAACACGAAATAAATAGCCTTTTGATGCTCTGATATGGGAAAGGTTCGAACGGAAAAAAATTAAATTTTCCCATTGATACACTACGTTAATGTCATTTTATTGTGCTCTTCCACGCAACTCTTCCTCCCTCTCCCCTTCCTCTTTCTCCTGCACTAAACCACTCGCTTCATGCAGGTCTGCGTTCAATCCCCGACCGTCCAGGTGGTTGGGCACCCCCCCTCCCTCCGTCCCATCCCAGATTTTTTTCTTGACCCCTTTCAAGCGCTATATAGTCATAATGGCTTGGCACTTTCTCCTGATATTTCCCTCCCTCCCTCCCTCCCTCCAGGTCGTGGGTGGCGATGGATGTCGACGTACGAGGAGCTGGGGGCCAGGAGCTGGGTCTCATGTACAAGCCAGCGTGGAATCTGGGGGCAGTGGAGGTGGACGATCACTTGGCTGTTGTAAGGTGCGTCTCCTGCTGCTTCTTTCAGTGTAATCTTCACGTAATCTGCAAGATAATCTTTATACTGGTAATCTATAGGTAATCTTCCGTCAGGTTATCGGCAGGTAATTGTCAAATAATCTTCAGGTAATATAGCTCGATAGGCTTGCAAGATTAACTCAAGAGGCAGTCAAGCCAGGTGTAAACAATAGACAAACTGATCTTAGATCACAGAAAACACAACTTTAAACCCTAAACTGCGCATCTATTTACCGACACTACTTAAAAAGGTCCGCACGCACTAAAAATATAACAAATCTGGGCCAACTAAACACCAGTAACCATGATCTTTCAATTAAAGTCACTTTAACCGTCACAGGTCACTGCTGGAGAAGCTGGAGTTCCTGGACGTGTCACGGGTAGCGGCCTACGGCTGGGGACACGGAGGCTACAACGCCGCCAGGCTCCTTGCGCACGATACTGACCGTCTCTTGGCCTGCATCGCGGCCCTCAACCCCGTCACCGACTGGTCCCTCTACTGTGAGCAACGTCTCACCTCATTGGCTAATAGGGTTTGAAATGATTCTGGGGCGATCATTGGTTGGTTTGAAATGACACTGGGGGCAACCATTGGTTGGTTTGAAATGACTCTGGGGCACTCATTGGTTGATTATTTTTTATATGACTCAGGGGGTGCTCATTGGTTGGTTTGAAATGACTGGGGCAACCATTGGTTGGTTTGAAATGACTCTTGGGGCAATCATTGGTTGATTATTTTTGAAATGACTCGGGTGGTGCTCATTATACAGATTGGGTTTGAAATGATCTCTGGGCGTTCATTGGTTGGTTTTAAATGACTCTGGGGCTATCATTGGTTGATTGGTTTTTAAATGACTTCAGAATGCTCACTAGTTGATTGGCTTGGGAATAACTTTGGGGCAATTTTCTGGCTAAGGTGGAGATTTTCTGGCAAGTGTGGGGTTGCTTAGCCCAATACAAGCCAAAATTTGCCCATACAATACAAAATTGACCAATACCAGGTTAAATTGGCATGTACGAGACAAAATCGGCCAATATGAGGCAAAATTGTCCACTTTCGAGGCAAAATTGGCCTTTACATACGAGGCAAAATAAGAAGCAAAATTGGCCCATACATTTGAGGCAAAATTGGCCCATACATTAGAGGCAAACTTGGCATATGTGAGGCAAAATTAGTTAATAGAAGGCAAACTTGCCCCATTCGAAGCAAAATTGGCTCATTCAAAGCAAATTTCGTCTCTGAGAGATGTCATTTCTAGTTTGGTGTTGGAAACTTGCCACCTTCCTTGATGTAATTGACAATTATACCAATACTCGCATTTTTAACGATTTTGTGAACTTTTGATGTAATTGTATTATTCTCATTCATAATAAAAAACAAGAAACCCCCATTACTACACTAATAGAAACCCCTCTCATTACATAAATTAATAGAAACTGCCCCCCATTAACCGCCTCCTGTGCCTTTGCAGCCTCTTACTACACCGAGAAATACATGGGGACTTCGAGAGTAGTGCCTGGGGGCAACTATAGAGGCTACGAGGAGAGTTCGCTCCTGCTACGGGCCTCTAGCTTCAAGAACCGCACCCTCCTGCTGGTGCACGGGTCGGCCGACTCCGACGTTCACTACGACCACACGCTCAAGCTCTCCAGGGCCCTCACCAAGAAGGGCATCATCTTCAGGTGCGGAGATTGGAGGGTTGTGTGGGTGCCTTCGTCATGTTTAGGGAGATTAGGGTCTAGTGCCTTTGTCAGGTTTAGGGAGATTCGGATGCTGCCTATGTCAGGTTCAGGGAGATTGGGGAAAGAGCCTTCATCAGGTTCAGGGAATTAGGGGGCGTCTTCGTCAGGTTTAGGGAGATTAGGAGTCTGGTCATGTTAGATTTGGAGAGGGGAGGGATCATCATCAGGTTTAAGAATACAAGGAGTATCTTTGTCAGGTTCTGGAAGGCAAGGAGTACAATTGTCAGGTCCAGGAAGACAAGGTGTTATTGTCAGGTCCAGGAAGACTAGGGAGGGAGTATCATCAGGTCCAGGAAGACAAGGTGTTATTGCCAAGTCCAGGAAGACTAGGGAGGGAGTATCATCAGGTCCAGGAAGACAAGGTGTTATTGCCAGGTCCAGGAAGACTAGGGAGGGAGTATCATCAGGTCCAGGAAGACAAGGTGTTATTGCCAGGTCCAGGAAGACTAGGGAGGGAGTATCATCAGGTCCAGGAAGACAAGGTGTTATTGCCAGGTCCAGGAAGACTAGGGAGGGAGTATCATCAGGTCCAGGAAGACAAGGTGTTATTGCCAGGTCCAGGAAGACTAGGGAGGGAGTATCATCAGGTCCAGGAAGACAAGGTGTTATTGCCAGGTCCAGGAAGACTAGGGAGGGAGTATCATCAGGTCCAGGAAGACAAGGTGTTATTGCCAGGTCCAGGAAGACTAGGGAGGGAGTATCATCAGGTCCAGGAAGACAAGGTGTTATTGCCAGGTCCAGGAAGACTAGGGAGGGAGTATCATCAGGTCCAGGAAGACAAGGTGTTATTGCCAGGTCCAGGAAGACTAGGGAGGGAGTATCATCAGGTCCAGGAAGACAAGGTGTTATTGCCAGGTCCAGGAAGACTAGGGAGGGAGTATCATCAGGTTCAGGAAGACAAAGGGAAGAGCCATAGCAAGAATAAATGGAAAAGTCAGAAGAAATTCCACTATGACTTAGATTGAGAACACTGGAGGGTCGTACAAACTCAAGGAAGATTAGGCCTCCGTCACCCGATTCAGAAAAATGTTACTGATTTTCAACAGATTTAGGAACTATTGAAACAAATAATTGTATCAGTTTTTATGGACGTTTTAAGAAGTTCATTCAATGAGTCAAAAGCTCTTTAAGACATGGTAACAGTTTAAATCAATCTGTTAGATAAACATCTTTTTCACATCTCTCGGTCTCACTCCTCATCCTCCTCCTCTTCCTTTTCTTCCTCCTCCTACTTTTCCTGTCCTTCCTCTCCCACCAGCATGAAGGTATCAATGTATTATTAATCAAATAATGTCATTTACACTGTACTGTAATGTCAACAGTGCAATTGTATTCAAATAATATTAAGCTCGTGATATTTCTCCAGGCAGCAGACCTACACGGACGAGGGCCATGACTTAGAGCGAGTGCAACTGCACCTCTACAGGACTCTGGAGGCCTACTTGGAGAGGTGCTTCCCCCCCTACAACGAGGAGGAAATGAGCTTACTCTTTGGCCAAGATGCTCTCCCATAGTCGCAACAATACCGCAGCAGCATCAGCAGCAGAAGCAGCCGGAGGAGCAACGGCAGTAGCACGGGGAGACGCCTGCATGAGCCAGGCCCCAACGCCTGGCAGATTGCACTCGTGTGGTACCGTCGACTGGCCCTTCAGATTATAGGTACTTCGTGCAAAATGCCGTCGTGCTAGCGACCCACTCTGAGGGTTCTCTTGACAGTCGTCCTACGTACGGGGATGCCCCTCAGAGATGCTGAGGATGTTTTGTCTGCGCCACAAGATCTTTCCGGAGAGAGATGAATGAGATGCCCCTTTTTTATCAGCTGGGTATATGCAATGTGTTTATAGAAATCTCACTCTAGGTTCTCCTTCACATGAGGGATTGATGGATTAATTAGATGTGCTGATAGCCGAGGTAGGATTCACAATGTTGACAATCTCTTATGTTAGAGATCCTCCCCGCTAGATAACCCGATAACAACGACTCGTAGCAGGACGCCAAAGCTGATAGCCAGATATCCCAGACCAGGCTACTCCTTGAAGCACGTAATCTGGCCGGTGGGGGGTCGATAGCTAGACATCCCTGGCCGACTTGACTCCTCCAGACCCCCAATTCTGACCGAAAGGCGTCGTTTTGGCTATCCTGAGGTCAGACATTTTTGTTCAAGGGTTCCTGGTGTTGTAGGAGGACGTGTACAAGGTTGCTTTGAAAAAGAGGTCGTGCACGTGTCTGATGGTTCAAACTTAAGGTGAACTGGACTGACGAAGGCAAACTGGGCTCCCTCTAGCTGGCTCCTGATGGTGCAACGCGATAGACTTTAAATCGAATACCTCAAAGACACTCAGCCTTCGTAAAGGTCCAACCCCCAGAGGGGTATATTATTTTTACCGATCACTGAATATGTCTCTATACAGTCCTTGCATTTTATTCATCTAAGCTTGCGCAAAAGATAAGCATTAAAATGACCTGAATTGCATACATATTACCTGTAATTAACTCAGCGGTATTTTCCCCCACTTTCTAAGGGGCTTTGAAACTCTATTTACAAACCAGTCATCAGACAGTTTTCGTACTTTAAGCAGTCACATCGCACTTCCTCACAATTTAAGATAACACAAATTGTTCCTGATTGGTTGATAAATTAATCCGGGATTTGTAATGTAAACAAAGGCATCCGAACACACACACACACACACACACATATCACACATACAAGAACATATGTCCGCTAAATTTACAACCAATGATAGATATTTTCAAATTGCCATGAAAAGCAACTCTTTTTTTTTTTTTTTCTCTCATCCGATTTTCGAGGATGTACCCGATATTCGTAGATGCTCCCGGCATACGAGGATGTGCCCGATATTTGAGAATATGCCCGATCTTCGTGGATGTGCCCGATATTCGAGGATGTTCCCGATATTCGAGGATGTTCCCGATATTCGTGGATGTGCCCGATATTCGTGGATGTGCCCGATATTCGTGGATGTGCCCGATATTCGTGGATGTGCCCGATATTCATGGATATGCCCAATATTCGCTGGCGCAAGGGCAAGTGGCTCATCGAGGAGAGACAGGGGAAGAAGATATAAGCCAATCTCGTCGACACTGATTTGTGACTAGTTTCCATGACTAAGTGTCATGACCCTTCCATGACCATTTACCATGATATCCAAGTCTGACCATCAACCATGCGTTTCTACCATGGCAAAATGATGGTATATCAATATGACATTAACAAAAAAATATCCAATGGCCATCTATAAAGGGCCTGACTTAACATTCTTTCATGATCACCTCCCCCCTACCCCTTTTCCACCACCCCCCCCCTGCTATTAAATGGGACCACTCCCCATTACCGTTTATATGGGATTAAATAGAAGTCTATTTAAACCTGTGTGTTAACTTTTTTGCTCTAGATACTCGCATCCTTCATTCTAGTTAATGTTTTTGTTAAAGTTTCAGTCCACAGTTCAGTTCTGTAATAATTATGTAATTTAAGAAAGACTCGCTGTAATATCCTTGTCTCCGTAGCGAACCGCCGCTTTGCATCGACTTCAGTTTAACTTCGCCTTGACTTCATCCTAACTTAGGCCCTGATCTCACCCTAACTTTTTAATTTGACCTCACCCTATCTTAGCCTTAACCTCACCCCTATCTTAGCCTTAATCTCACCTTGACCCCACCTCTTACTTTGCCCCTGATCTCATCCTAACTCCACCTTGAACTTTGCCCCTGATCTCATCCTAACTCCACCTTGAACTTTGCCCCTGATCTCATCCTAACTCCACCTTGAACTTTGCCCCTGATCTCATCCTAACTCCACCTTGAACTTTGCCCCTGATCTCATCCTAACTCCACCTTGAACTTTGCCCCTGATCTCATCCTAACTCCACCTCTAACTTTGCCCCTGATCTCATCCTAACTCCATCTTGAACTCACCCTGTGATTTATGGACTTATTTGCTAATTCCATTATTAGTAATGGTAATGTCTTCTGTCACAAGACATGATAACACAGGATCAGAACCCCACACACTTGTGAATGTAAACATTAGACGTTGTATTAGACTTTGAGATGCAAGTCTCGTGTCCTTATCACACACTCAGACCTGGATTAAGCACTCAGAAGCGTGCGAAAGACTTGGTGTAAATCCCTCACATAAATTTCACAAAATACCCAAAGTGTGGGTTTTGATCCTAAATTACATTATTGTTGTAGATCAATACAAATATTATTATTACACAGAGAAATCACATTAACGTGATATATCGTTGAACACATCCACAGGAGAATTGATCAGGGTTCGAACCTTTGCACTGGATGTTCGCAGGCGAAACCATGTGTGTGTCTTTACCGTGTCGAGGTACAGTTGGCTAGAGTGAGCGTCTGGGAACGCCCCGAGCGTAGGTTCGAATCCTCAGCACGGCTCCTGTGGATTTGTTCAATACTGTATTATTATTATCATCATTATTTGATTTTATTGTTATTAAATATTTATTTATGTTTCAAAAATGTAAATTAATTTCTACAGTTGCAAGCTAGAAGGGCACGGTTATTATTAGTCGTGTTTCAATGGTATGTTATCTATGCCCGCAAGTTAATGTTAGGTTAGTTATGCAGTACAGACTTTTAACTAGAGTTATGTCTATTGTTACAATATCCATTACTGGTATTATCACTTGTATTGGCACTTTGGGAGTATCAATATTATCGCTGTTATAATTTGTGATTATAAAAATAGTCAGCATAATTATAATTTAGCTTATATTAAGCCAATATATCTCATAAGTATTTAAATAGTTATATTTTTGAATTACTATATTTCTATATGTTTAGGTGACTGTAAATGCCTCTTCACTTAGTATGGTTATTGCATAATTTGGTAATGAAATTTGTGTGTGTGTGTATGTATATATATATATATATATATATATATATATATATATATATATATATATATATATATATATATATAATTGGCTGTTGATTGCTGGTGTTGACTTCTTGATGTGTAGTGCCTCGCAAACGTCAAGCCGCCTGCTATCGCTGTATCTATCGATGATTTCTGTGTTGTATCTATCATCGATAGATACAGCGATAGCAGGCGGCTTGACGTTTGCGAGGCACTACACATCAAGAAGTCAACACCAGCAATCAACAGCCAATTATTGCACATATATATATATATATATATATATATATATATATATATATATATATATATATATATATATATATATATATGAATATATGTATATGTGTGTGCGTGTAATTACATACGTGTAATTTCTTAAGAGTAGTTACAGGATGAGAGTTACGCTCGTGGTGTCCCGTCTTCCCAGCACTCTTTGTCGTATATAACGCTTTGAAACTACTGACGGTTTTGGCCTCCACCACCTTCTCACTTAACCTGTTCTAACCGTCTACCCACTCTGCCGAAACGAACTTTATAATGTTTATTCGGCAGTTTTCTTTCCTCAGCTTGTATCTATGACTTCTTGTTGCGGATTTCAAAAATTTCTCCTGGTCTATTTTGTCGATTTCTACGTGGTGATCATATCCCCTCTTTTTATTTTATCTTCCAGCTTGATTCTGTGAGTGTAATTAGCTAAGTGTTGTTACAGGACGAGAGCAATACTTGTAATTAACGGTTATTCCAGTACAATGTGTGTGTGTGTGTGTGTGTGTGTGTGTGTGTGTGTGTGTGATAGAAACATATTACCAATTTATATAATTAATTTTAGAATTTGTTTCAAACAAAATGATAAAATCACTTAAACATATATAATCTTCAGTCTAATAGACTATATTACTATCATTCTGTGCATATATGGATATAGTCAGAATATCTTTATGCATCACATGGAAAGCATAGAAAGAGACATTGATATCATTACGTTCAATTTTGAATGACTTTGAGGCATGAACGGCTTCGAGACGAAGTTAGTGGAAAATACAGCAAATAAATTGTAGTCGAACGTAATTGCTGTTGTGGCTCAGATTCTTCAGAAACGAAGAAGTGCCACGAAACGAAGAAATGCCACGATTCAAGTGACCTCATGTTGACCTTTTTATGATAATGGATTCAAGCAGTTTTCCCACAGTAGACATTAAGCTAATTGGCCTAATTGGAAAGTTATCATTTCCCCCCCCCCCCTTCTTAAAGATTGGCACAACTTTTGCAACCCTCCATGATTCTGGTACTTTTCTCAACCTGCATTGACTTATTAAATATAGAAGGTAACTCTGTTAAATATAAAAGCTCGGCTTAGCCTGTCTTTACATTTTCTTAGGACCCTGGGCAAGACTTTTCGTCGGGTTCTCGGACTCTTTTTTTTTTTTTTGGCTCACCATTTTCTGTTTAATAACTTTCGCCTCGTTAATTACTAAACAATTCAACTTGCCTCCAGTACCTGTATAAATTTGCTCAGGTGTGAGCCATAATATCAAGCTGTTCTCTAGCGGCTCTCTATAGTGAACCTTGCGGCGATGGTTCTATAAGGATCAATGTCTCCGTGGCACGGTCTCTGTCCAGATCTTCTGGTTCGTGGTCTGGCAAACTCTCTCAATTCTTCGTCATTATCAGGTACTTGTTCGAACTCATTATTTACAAAGGACCAGTCATCTCCCTAGTCTTTGGTATAAGCACTTTATCATTTCTTTTTACTTTCCCTAATATCATTTTTTGTAGACGTTCTTCATAGTGTGATCAGTTGTTTTTCGAGACACCCCTTCCCATCCCATTTTTAATACGCTCATATATATATATATATATATATATATATATATATATATATATATATATATATATATATATATATATATATATATATATATATATATAATATATATATAGTTTTCATATTTTGGATAAGATGCTGTCTGTAGGTCCCATTTGGGTCATTGTTATTTGATCAGATCAATGTATACAGTATAGTGTGCTTTTGTACTTAAAATACATCAATATCCACAACTATGTTACCTACCTCTGGACCTCACGTCACGTGCTTGGAACGTGCTTCTTCAGCTCTCTCTCTCTCTCTCTCTCTCTCTCTCTCTCTCTCTCTCTCTCTCTCTCTCTCTCTCTCTCTCTCTCTCTCTCTCTCTCTCTCTCTCTCTCTCCCACTCTCTCTCTCTCTCTCTCTCTCTCTCTCTCTCTCTCTCTCTCTCTCTCTCTCTTTTGTCCTTGCTCTTGGATGGCACAAAAGGGGTGCCAGAGTACTAGAGTGCCAGGTGTTATGGCTGACCTCCTCCCCTACCCCGGGCACTTATTCTTCGATATCTACGGTATTGTTCTACCATCCGGCCTCTTGGACTGGTGGGTAGAGCGATGGTCTCGCTTGTCGCTGGTCAGCGTTCGAGCCCCGGAGGTGCAAGTGGTTGGCCACCATTTTTTCACTCTCCTATCCCAACTCCTTGTCTTCAAATCCCAGCTCCTTGTCCTCGTATCCCCAGCTCCTTGTTATCATATTCCTCTCCCAGTGTGATATAGGTATTCTGGATTTTGCGTTTTCTCCCTATAATTACATTTTCTTTTGTTTTGTAAATTCAAGCAATGACGTTATAATTTTGCTGTTCCTGAAGACACAAGCGCCCTGTGATCCCAGCCTGTACAGCTATGAAGCAGTACACACTACTCTAGTGTTCACTTATTTGTTAACCAGTGCAGTTAAATGACGAGAAAACCAATTTTCTTTGGAGGAAAACCCGCTTTCTTAAAAAAAAAAAAACATTTTCTTCAAAGAGAACCAATTTTCCGCCTATAAAACTAATTTGCTTCACAGAAAACCCATTTTCTTCACATAAAATCAGATTTCTTAACAGAAAATCAATTTTCTTCACAGGAAATCAATTTTCATCTCATGTGTTTTAACCGAGGACTTTGAAATGGATAACTGGCTCCAAGAATGGAGGAAAGCCATATGGATAACTCACTCCAAGAATGGTGAGAAGCCGGATGGATAATTCACTGCAAGAATGGAGGAAGCCGGATGGATAATTCACTGCAAGAATGGAGGAAGCCGGATGGATAATTCACTGCAAGAATGGAGGAAGCCGGATGGATAATTCACTGCAAGAATGGAGGAAGCCGGATGGATAATTCGCTTCAAGAATGGAGAGAAATTAGATGGATAATTCGTTTAAAAAAAAACAAAATGCATTTATATAGCTCATTGATGTACATTGAAAGTTTCTAAACTTCTGCAGTTTAGAAACCTGGAAAGCTCTCTAGAGAACTCTTAATTTAAGGAATTTAAAAACATGAGAAAACATATCGAATTTGCTTCTTTAAAAAAAAATTTTGTGGTGTTGAATTTTCAGTGCAAATACTTTGTTGGTTTTGTTCTGGGGAAGTTGTTGACATATTATTGTTTGTGATCTCGTTGTCACTAAGATCTTTCATGTTTGGAACATTATACGTTGGAGTTATGACGTCACGTTATACGGTACGTCCATTTTTTTCCAGGGATACTCATGCACGGGGCCTATCCCTGGAAACACAAACCGAAACTGTCTCTATTTTCCGCTTGTTACAACTTGTAATAAAGTTGTTACATCTTGGCTTAACGTGTTTATGACGTATTAGAACGTTGTTACAACTTGCTATATTGGTTGTCATAACTGGTTAGGAGGTGTTAAAACTTGTTGGAACGTTGTACCAACGTCGTAGTTTCGGTGTGTGTTTGGCTTATAAGCCTCTGACTGGCCCACTGAGTTTTACTTGTTTCTTGTTTCTGTCGGACTTAAGTGGAGTATGAAATATTTATGACTCACAAGTTCGCTTCAAGTAAGATTATGTCCCATGTGTTTAAGAACTTCTTCTGCTTTGTTGAATCTTAAGTTGAAGCCGTATTGGGTTTAACTCTGCACTGTGTTGGGTAATGTTCCAGTGGTCTGTTGTGGTTGTAACTGTGCACTGTGTTGGGTAATGTTCCAGTGGTCTGTTGTGGTTGTAACTGTGCACTGTGTTAGATAATGTTCCAATGGTCTGTCGGGCATTTCTCCACAGTGCTGATATTTCCTCTCACCTTCTGGAACCTGTAAGCCCATTTCCCATGCACATGGAAAATGGGCTTGTTTGAGATCACGTCTATTCGAAGCGTCACTCTTGGAACACATCACCTAGTTCCATATTAATGCTATGTAGGGTATGTTTTATTGGGAAGGGAGAGAGAGAGAGAGAGAGAGAGAGAGAGAGAGAGAGAGAGAGAGAGAGAGAGAGAGAGAGAGAGAGAGAGAGAGAGAGAGCAACAGCTCTTCTAACTGTGGGTGTGGGTATGGGTGTGGGTGTGGGTGTAAGTGTGGGTGTGGGTGTGGGTGTGGGTATGGGTGTGGGTGTGGGTGTAAGTGTGGGTGTGGGTGTTCAAATATATTTGATAATAAACATCTTAAGGCATCTTGTGACTAGTTTACCCATTAGCTATCACTAGAAGCCTCTCGATGAGCTCTAAAGCTTGTGCTTTAAAGTAGTCTATAAGGAAGATTAAGTTCTCTAATATAATACAAATTTCTTAGCTAGAATGGAGCATATACAAGGTAGCATGGAATAGGGGGTAGGAAAGGCTTTCAGTAGCATGAGAATGTACATATATATATTATTTTCTTCTCTAGAGTCAAATATAGTCGTGTTTATATTGTGAATTCAGTTCAAAATGCATCGAAGTCTACCAGAATCAAGGAGTTACAAGCTCAAGTCAGGTATCATGGGATTTGCCAGGGAAAAGAAGTGTTTTGTTGTGATCTGTGTTGTAAGGGTGTGTGTGCGTGTGTGTGTGTGTGTGTGTGTGTGTGTGTGTGTGTGTGTGTGTGTGTGTGTGTGTGTGTGTGTGTGTGTGTGTGTGTGTGTGTGTGTGTGTGTGTGTGTGTGTGTGTGTGTGTGTGTGTGTGTGTGTGTGTGTGTGTGTGTGTGTGTGTGTGTGTAA